TCGAGAGCGTCTGGCTGTCATGAGACAGTTTCATATCTTTTATACGTTTATATCAAACAGTGTGCAGCTTGGGTTTTTAATCGCTTTGGAGCGCAACACAGAACATTGAATGAATCAAACAAACTCTAACCTGCATGCTTTGAATCTTATGAATAATTTGCATGCAATTCGGAAACTTATATTTGTTTCGCTTAAACTGAAATTATGATTAGAGCTCAAAGGTATGCTTTTGAAAATAGTACACGCTTTTATTTGAGCTGATATAATAAACATTGTCTAAGGTTAAAATGTACATTTCTGTGTGTTCGTTGTGTCAGATGTTGTACTTTCATTCGCAGTTGTCTCGGTTTTAAATTAAGACAGTGACGGGTTTAACTGTGAGATCTGTTTAATGGAAAGAACCATATCAGACAACACATTTGTATTTAAAATCACAGCTTGATAAAACAACACAATTTAATTCAGTTGCAAGTGTTTCTGTTTAAATTTAAAGCATTTTTCTAGAATCAGGCGCCTAAATTAAAGTAAACATTTTCTGTCTTTGACTCCCGGTGAAAATCCTCTTTGACAAACGGGATGTGAGGCCGAGGCTGATACCATGACTTCCACCCGAAGACTGGAAATCTGCCGCGTGCTCCGAGTTCATCGCAACGAGATCGAGTTTTAGGCCCGATGGCCGCGAGGAAACCTTCTGGGTGGAAGTGGTTCTCACAAGGAACCATTTATCCGACATGGAAATGCAAACAGGGTTGTAATTGGATCAGGCGCTTGATCCGCCGTGAGCTTAAAAGAATAAAAATAAATACTCTTTAATAAATAAAGAGAGGGAAAGGTCGTGGCTCGCCGCCGAGTATTTTTAGCCGTCGATGGAGGGCGGGACTGGGCCGCTTCTCAGACCACCTTCTCAGGCGTAAACAATGACATCATTCACGGAATGGGTCAACAAGGCGCGTTCGACTGTAAGTTACGGGTGTTGCACAGATGTTGCCGCTTTGGTTTCACGTGATCGTGAGACACTTAAAGTTGTGGAGCCGCTCAAATCAAACTCGGCGGTTATCCGACCCCCCCCCCCCCCCCCCACAATTCGGCTTGGGTTGGAATCACAGCCCAGGGGGAGGTGGTGACACGCGGTAAGGAAAGTGGGATGGCATCCACGTTACACGGATTAACCCGCGTGCCTGTATATGGAGAATAAAGGCAGCGCACGCTAATGTCCCCCTGGGATAAAAATAAAAGCCCAGCTTCCGTCTACGAAGAAAACATTCGCCCGGGGACACATGCAGAAAAAAGAACAACCAAATAATCCACCGCGCCATTTGGGAGCGCTGCGCTAACGCGTCCCGCTAAGCCAATCACATTAGAAATTAGACCGGGAGGGAGGGAGGGAGGGGGGGGGGGTTCGGGCTCAACACTCTTCCCACAATCTCGGCCTGTAAAACTCGACCCCCGTTAAATACCCATGTGCCGTGACACACACTTATCCGTGTGCCACTGGGGACGACAGACAGACGTAATTGGACCATTAATTGCAATAAGAAACACAATTCTGACTTTTGGTTTGTTTTCCCAGGTTTGCTTTTTATACAATTTGGCAAAGGACATTTATCGGAAAACGTAGTTATAGGCGTCAGGTATGTAAGTATAACCTGTTATGTTGGATTTTCAGCATAAAAAAGCCAATCTATCGTTGTGAATATTGTTTTAATAAAGAGTATTGACAGGTGTAAAGTCCTGGTCAACGATAGCAGCTGCCATGAAACTGAGAATCGAGACCCACCTGCTGTACCTGCTGCAGCCCCGTCCTGATGTAACTGTCTCTGGGCCGATATCAGTGACATAGGGATGATGTCATAGCAGCTGATCGCGCCATAACTGAGACCTTTCAAACATTCTTCATGGGCGGATAACAACACGGAGCTAAACGGGCGAAGTGTGCGTCTTCATCGGAGGCCCAGACGTTTAAATGGCGCATGAAGAGACACGTAAATGAATCTATTATTGAGATATCCAATTGTTGTTTTTGATCTAATTTTACTTTGAAAATCACTCGAGTCTACTACAGTTTTTATAGTCTTTGATATATGTTAAATAAATAATACCTCGGATAAAGATAAAAATATTTATTCTGCTCTCAGATGAGAAGGAGCTTTGTGAAACTGTCTGGAAAATGTAATCGAACACCTTCCAGTGAGCTTTGAGGACATATTTTGTTTCTCGCTATGCCAGCAGGCTCATGGATGTGTCTAATCCGCTCTTCAAAACCAGATATGAATATATGTATTTGCATCAGATGGTTTTATTCTTCTTCTTTTTTTACGAAAACAAAATGAATAATTAATTGATCTCAGATACGTACCACAATACAATACAAAAACGATAAAACATCCCCACAAGAAGTAGAACATTTGCAAGCAATTGTATCAATGCAACACAAATCCAAGCATCAACATCCCCACTGAGAGTCAAAAGTCATTTAAATGAGTTATGCTCTTCACAAAGAGCGCGTGCATACCTGCAGGGACTGGTTCAGGCATGGTTAGTCCTGTGCCTCCTCTTTGCTGCTGCAAGACTGAGAGCCTGTGGTGCTTATTCCTTTTATTTACCCCCCCCCCCCTCCTTCTTCCCTCCCCCCTCTCCCCCAAACACCCTCCTCTCCTCTCTCCTTTGGCACTCGAGTCACCCGCACCCTGCTGTGAGCGACCAACACAGGACGCACTGACGACGCCCCGAAGAAGTTGAAGCAGGAGCGGCGCTGTAGCGGCGAAAGAGGCCGTGCACGTTTGTGTTGATGACGAGGGTTAATTGGGCTCTAACGTTTGCTGCAGAAATGAAGAATACACATGAGACGAGCCAACGTTTGGATCATCACCTCTCACGTCCTACACTGGGAGGAGGGCTTGCGAGTAGTTTTGTGGTGTCGTAATGGTAAATGTCGCCGGGCGCTTCTCTCGACGTGCTGCTAGAAGTGAACACGAGCAAAGGAAGACGCAGACGACGAATATATATCATTGTCTCATATTGACAATATAACTGGCAATTAAGTAGAAAATCTCTTTTTTTGATTTTCTATGTCTGATCTAAATATATTTCCCTACTTTCTTTTTGAGTTTAGGGGTTTTCACCTTTCAACCTTTCACTTTTTGACCTTTAACCTTTTAAAGGTTTTTTTTGCAAGGCTAAAAATGTTGTATCTGTAAAACAGGTGTGAAAAACATCAACATTGTACTGACCTCAACTTTTTTCAGCGCTCCAATGATTTTCTTTACTTTAATTTCTGGGCTCTCACGCTAGCTGTTTCCATCTTAATGCTAAGCTAAGCGATATATTTATATATTTAGCACACAGATATGAGAGCAGTTGAAGAAAAATGTCCAGTTCACAAAGTGTTTAGTGTTCAATACGTCTGCAAGCAAACAGTAAAGTCAGCTAACAAACAAATGCAGATCCCTTCTGATTGGCTTCCCAAATGCAGGCCCTATTTACAGCACAAAGATGGCCGACAGCCAGTAGCAGTGTGTGTCCTCGTGTAAAAGTGTCTCCCTATTTCTGCCTGCTATCTCACAGGGAATATTCCATGTCCGAGGCACGTCTTCATTACCGCTGGTCAACTCCTTCTTCATTTGTTTGAAATGTGCATAGGTCAACAGGAGCCCCCCCCTTCTGCTGGGGTCGAATTGGGAACCTTCACGAGGACCCGGCATGTCGGTCCGCAGGGACCACCTGACGGGTCTATCTATAGCTGCATTATGTTCACCATCATCCCGAGTCCCCCCCGACTCCCCCCCACCGTGCTGGCATTAAATATCAGCTTTCTTATCCAAGCTAAGGAGAATGAATCGCGTTGCTGCTTCAGAGCCGTGTTTGTACGGCTATCTGTGTGAGGACCAATCTGAGCTGAAGAGCCTCGGAGTGAGAAGCTTTTTGTCAAATGCCACTTTCACGTATCTGATGGGATGCGTCAGTGTTTAGTGCAGAAGGAGGAAAGCTATGCTGGAATGACGTGTGGAACAGTCAAATTGTATTCACTTTGCATTGGAAGAAGTTCTTTTCATCTACTGTCTCTCGGTGGGTTGAATAATATATATATATATATATATATATATATATATATATATATATATATATATATATATATATATATATATATATATATATATATATATATATATATACATATAGTTGTGCAATCTTTCCACAAGTTTCTAGAGGATTGTTGCAGTCGTGGTAACTTCCGAGAAGAGACATGAGATGTTGGTGACTATTTATGACGGTGCAAAACATTTTATGTATTAAGTTTACAGGCCGCTCCCGAACCCATTCTACGGTCCGATAAGGGAATTGAATTGGAGGGCGACTATAAATACTTGGGGACTTTTACTGATAGTAAACTTCAGAGGCAGTAACAGAGATAAGTGGCAGAGAAGCGCGGCTGTTTTCCCCAACAGGAAACTAAAGCTTTTAACATCTGCTGAAAGTACAACCTTGTTTTTATCTGAATTCATTGCATAAGCCGTGTTGCCATGTTGCAGCCGTCGGGGGGGCTTTGGGTGTACTCCGAGCTCAGCTCAAATAACCGCAATCTGTGAGATCGGCGTGCTGAAGGATGAACGTCTGTCCTACTCTCAGTGGAGCCGATGCTCCTCCACGCTGGAAGAGTCCAGTCTTATTTACTGATTGCTTCATTCAGACAGTCACTTCAGCAGCAGCCTTTCCCTGCATACACAGCAACGGCTTCAGATCGACCAGTTATTGCACTTGTCCAGTGAGCAATTAAGGTACAACACGTGGGTGTGTGTATTTTAGTGCGTAAATATCGAGTTTTGTCTGTTATGAGTCTGTTTTGATTGCTTATGTTAATAGTTTTCAAATATTTCTTACAGCACATCATCATAATGTAATAATATAAGTTAGATTTATTTATTTATTTAATCATGTGTTACAGTAGAATGACATACCGCCAACGCCCTGCGATGACTAAATGGGCATTTCAACACAATTACATTACGTTTTTTAATTGGATTTACTTGCATTTATAATCGACACCAGCACATTTCTTATCAGTCAATTAGAGCTCATGCTACAGTGTTCAAGATACGATTAGAATAAATAGAATAGAATCAATGTCTGTGATTAATCCCCCAGATTACCCAAAGTAAACGTTTTAAAGCACAATTACTGGCCTTGTTGCTCAGTGCAGTTGTCTTTAGTTCATTTATGACACCACGGCACCACCTAGCGGAATTATCAGGAAGTACCATTTTGAAAAGGAAGATGGTTAATGTGGCCAAACAATTACTCTTAAAACTCTACAATCTTTACAACAAATTTTTGTACACGTAAAAAACAGCAAACACAAATACAGAAAGGTCCACAGTGGTTATTCACTTACGAGTACTAACGGGCTGCTGAGCTGAGGATTTCATTTACATTCCATCAAAATTGAAAGTGTCCCTGTGTGTCCCCTCGTGGGAGGAAAGACGTGCATGAGGATGTCCAACTGGCTACTGTGCACCTAAATACCAACAGGTTACAGCCAAAGGCTTATTAGAGGGCTGTAATTATATTACATGAAGCTTATATTTAGAATATTCAATTCATTCTGTCACTCTGTTCCAATCTTAATTCACAAGATTTTATTGAAGAGGTTTTACAGTAATCAGCCTTGTTAAGTAAAAATAAATACTTTTAATACTTATGACAGCGTAACTTTATCATCCATTACATTTTAAAACCAAACTTCCTAAAAACTTACATTTTACTGCTGCAGATGTTTAGGTCTACGAAATAAATTCTACACTTTCACATATTTATGTACTACAGACTTTGGAAATGTATTAGAGAATTTAGTTTTCACAATAACTTACTTGTCAATTGCTTCCAGTTAATTTATTTCAGCCATAAATGAATTATAAGAGGAGCTTGATTTAGATTTTATCTCTGTTTTATTTGGGTCTGTAGTGTGATTTACATTCATGTCGGCTAAATGCTAATGAGCGATATTGGACTTCATTATAGACGGACTTTCCCATCAGGCTGTTCAGGTTGCCGTCATGACAACGTGTCCTTGAGAACTACTGAGACGTGACAGAAATGATACAATCTTTATTTGTATTTTCCACTGATATTCCCTCTTTGTCCCTTTAACCCTAAACCAGATGTTTGTGGGCTGTGAAAAACTACACTGCTAAAAAAAAAAAAAAAGTCGAGTCGAGGATCCTTCCTCTTTTAATCCATCGACTCCCGCCCTGCGGCCTCAGCGGCGTCATGTGTGTGCTCACACGGGGGCTCATGGCTCCGCAGGATCTGCTTTCGTGTCACCAGCCCTACGGCCTCTTGACCCCCCCGGGGGCGAGGAATGCAGGACCCGCGGCGACTGAAGGTGTGGTTGTGTTTAAATGCTTACATGTGTAGAATAGATGTTCTCTAAAAATAATGTCACAAGTGTCTCTTTGTGTTTATTCAATTAAAAGTCATTCGGGTTTTGATAAAAGTTCACAGGTTAATGACACGCGAACAAACAGCCGCGTTTCGATGATAAGTGGGGGTCTTCGTACAGAGATTCTCGATTAGCATTGCGGACATACGTGTGGACATACGTGTGGACATATTTCAACGGAAACGGGAAAACTCACACTCTTCCTTTTACCCTTCCGGTTTAATCAAGCAGCACGAGGACTTCTGTCCCACCCAGAAGCCCGGCAGCATTCTGCCCTTGAAGGAGCTCTTAGTCTGATGCAGCAGTCGGGTCCTCTTTCCGTCTTCGCCTCCGTCTCCCTCCGCCGCTTCTTCGACGGCGTAAAAGTTGACGAGACCGGCCGGGTGGTCGAGGTACACCCCGATGGTGGAGCACTGGGGAACGTTCCAGATGTCTGTGTTGTTGCCGTCGAACCACAGCTGGTAGCTGGAGCCGCTCCACCCGAGACCCCAGGACTGGTCGTTTTCTCCCAGCCCGCACTGTCCGTCGCACCCCCTCCGCCCGGCCCCCTCGCAGGCGACTCCGGTGACCACCCATCCCGAACACTTGACCTCCCAGTAAGCTCGGAAGCCCGAGATTGCCTCTTTGCAAAGGACCTTGGAGATGGAAGGAGAGGGATTAGTTCAGCGTGGAACATTAGACGTTCGGATGGGAGGGTTGGGGAGGTTCAGACCTACCTGGGGGGAAAACTCGTATCTCTCCGGCCGGTCCAGGACGGGACAAGTGACATCATCGGTCATGCGCGACACCTTGGATCCGCCCTCCGTGATCCACAGCAACTTATTGGCTGTCTTGTCATCCAGGGAAAGGTTAATCCAGTCTGTGCGACGAGGGAAACGGAAAACTGCAAATCACCAAGAAGTGACCAAACCCCCCCACCTCCCCCCAAGTATCTAAATCTCCGTTCTTACGTTTCAGGAGATCGGCTCTGCATGTTGGCTCGGGGATGTCGGGCATGTAGCTCGTGATTCTTTCTGTTTGATGGTAAAACGCACAATGTGGGCGTAAGAAGACACAATGACAGGCGGAGGCCGATGTGCGCTCATTTCACGTGGCTGACTGTAGAATCTTTAGAGTAATTACTGCGTTCACTCACCAGGTCTGTCGGGGGCGCGCTTGATTCTCACGTTCTTCGGACCACTGATCATCCTTTCTGCTTTTTGCCGCGTTGAGGTTTCCTGAATGTCGCCGTCGGTCAGAACGGGCTCTTTATATACCCTCGGCCATGTGGGGGGGGGGTCGCTGAAGGTGTTTGCGGGGGGCCTCTGGGGATCCCTCACGGAATTTTTGGAAAGGTATGTAGAGATAAAATGCTCACTAATGGGCGTGCCACAGGTCACCCGACCCCGTGTCCATAGTTGTTGGGAATTTGCTTTGACATTTACCATCTCTTTGTCATCGTGCTTACACCTTGGTACTTGATACCTATGAGGTCATCCTGTAGACGACCCCCCGCACCCCCCCACCTCACCCGCCTCCCCCTCCGTTGAATGGTGGAACCCGGGCAACAAACTCGTCACCCGCGCTCCCTCTCTTCTTTATCTTTAATAGATCCCACCGCTGGCATTCACCGCTCGGTGTGTCCGTTTGCATCGCCGTCACCGCCGCAGTCACTCATCTGGGGGGTGGGGGGGGGGGGGGGGGGCGTAGAGCTGTGGACACCCGAGACCCCCTGAGAGCGTGTCGCAGCGACGGTTTTACGGCCCGGGCTCGGCTTTTTTTCTTTTAACCCGGGCCACGGGCTTTACGGCGCCCGTGGCGGTAAACGGGCCGACGTGATAATGGAGGTCAAGTGGGTTGTTAAGGCCGCTATGATGACATCCCATTCCTCCGCTCGAGTGGCTCGCAGTTGTCTTAGCTTAATGTACGAGGCCCCTCAAGGTGATGACGAGCGTCTGATGAGTTTTAAAGCATTACCTGTTAGAAAACAGCTAAAACGATTGTACTTCAATGTGATCAGTATCAGTGTCAGTATTTGCTGCTTGAATTTATTTGGTTGTGAAACTGTCTGAAATGAATTCTGGAGCGTGTGTGTGACCACATAAGGTCATCAGCCTCGTTCTACGTAGTTATTCTCAATGCTCGTGACATGACATGACATTGAACAGGCTCTTGGTAGCTTTATTTAAGCTTTTTCAATACGTTCCACATGTCCACCTTTGGGACACCAGGACCTGTAGGGTTCATATTTTTGCGAGCTGCGTACTCAGAATTAGTTGGTGTGTGTGTGTGTGTGTGTGTGTGTGTTTGCATCACTTAATCCACCCCCGGTGCATCGGCGCTGTCACTGTGCAATGTGGGGAGATCAGCTGGAGTGATGGAGAAGGCAGAAGGGTGTCCCACAGATATTAAAACACCCATTCAACCCCTCTAAGGAGAAACACAGCTCTGATTTCAAGCCTCCGGCCCATCCGTCTTTTTTATTGGCAGGTATCATGCGCCGCTCGTGTCAACACCAGCGACCCCTCGTTCTTTCCCCCCCCCCCCCCCCCCCGGTCGTATAGGAGCGGCGTTAAGGCGTCACGCAGTGGAGCCAGCAGAGAGGCCTCCCTCCCTCCCTTCAACCTCCCTTGATGCTCTGAGCTGACGGTGATGAAGGTTTGAGATATTTCAGCGTTGACGCAGGTGAAACACGTCGCTTATGTTGACGTCCTCATGCTTTGGGGATTAAGTCTCTTCTTTTTTTAATCCACGTACTTAACACCCGACTGGGTGCTGCGTGCTTACATGAGCGTGAGTCACGGTGCCATGAGCCTGTGGTGCAAATGTTATTCATCACTTCGAGGAAAGCGCCGACACAATGGAGTTCGCCGTAATCAAGTTTAGCTTGAAATCTGAATCTCTGCTCGCAGGCTTAATTATTTTCTTTCCGCACGATAAGCTCTTTTCATTTAAGTCCCCCTCGATATCACATTTAGGGACAATTAAGTGTTCCAAATTATTATCTTCACATCATTTGAGACAAGCTGCTCCTTTCGATTGTTCAAATTTAATTAAATGAGTCCATTTTTGGCTGCTTTTACTCAACATTCCCAAGTTATCTGATTTTCCGCCAGCAGGTCGCGTCGCCTGTAATCTGTTGAACTGCCCTGAGCTTTATGCTGTGCTCCAGCGTAACCTAAGCTGACCCCCCACCAGGATGTGAGGTGTCTTGTTAAATCCGACGGCCGGGCACGAATCCGCCACTGGCTCCCGCAAAGCATGCGACGGTCCGACGGAGGCGGGTGGTTTTCTAATTATACACAATGTTTGCACTTCATCATCACCTGTCAGGACACACCTGAAACCTGCAGCACCTCCGCCGGACAGCTGAGCATGTTCAACTCAATATGAGCCAGTGGAGGGAAAGGAAACAAAAGGCTGCTTTTGCTTTTCACATGTTTTTTTGTCACTCGCTCCTCGGAGAACATCCCGACGTCGGTTCCCAATATCCCTGAACCCAAAATATAGAGCCGATCAAACGAGTCTGTGAGTCTCCACAGGTACACGTTCCACCGTACATGCGTTTGTCTGCTCGTGGCATCCTGGTGCGTATAGCGAGGATCTACCGGATGAGGGTCCCCGTGCGTTACCACGGCGACGCCTCCCTGGATGATGCTGCGCTGGACGAAAAACACGAGCTGCGTTCAAAATCAGGCCTGACTTAAACATTATATAAATAAATAGTACCAGCGTTAAAGACAAGTAGAAACGCCACACACAGTCTTATTAGTGACGGTAAACCTCATCATCTTAACATCAAAAGCTTTGTGTGGTGTGTGAAATATAGAATTTCCACTTCCTGTTTTATTTTGAAACCACAGACTCCTGCATCTCTTACTCACTGCTTGTCCGTTTTACTCTGCAACAATGTCATATAAATCTAAGGAAAAAAGGAAACAGTTTGTTCGATGCGAACGTAAGTTTGGCGTCTCTTTGGGGCGTTACAGAACTTTAACGTGGTCGACGCGTTGTGCGTGGATTCCCTCTGGGTGGGGCTGAGTAGTAGTAGTGAGAATCACACCCGCGGGCGTGAAGGGGTCATGTGAGACGCTGCGGCCTGAGTATCCGTTCCATACTTTGACAGGTGGGCCTCCCCTGCTGTCGCCTTAACACCTAAAGCACAAGAGTTACGCTACACCCACGCTAACCCCCCCAGGGAGGCCTACAACGAGTCCTAATGGAGGTTAAACAGGGTGTCGCACCTCAAGAAACGTTTTAGGTTTTAATTACATGCGTACAGATATGGGTTCAACAACGATGAAGACGGACATCATCAACAGAGTTACAGGAACACACGTACGAGCTCAAGCACGCTAAGTTTAGGCCGTGGCTCCAGTGACACGTGAGGATTTATGTCGCTCGCGCGTGACAGTTGAACCACGAATATTCACCGTGCACCAAAGAAAACACAACTACGGTCGATGCGTTTTTTATCTACACGCGATGCGTTTGGATCAGCTTCTGCTAAGCGCGCGCGGCTGAGCGGTAACTCCAAACTGCTGTCGTGAGCAGATCACTTTACACATAATTGACACATAAGGCGTGACATCGAGGGGGGGGGGGGGGGGGGGGGGGGGGGGGGGCCCCCTTTTTATTTTTCACCGGTTTTTCCCCAAAACCTTTAAAATGTACAGTTGTAATGTAATGTTGGGTGTTTATCTACATGATAACTGTGACACCAAGAGTAGAAAAAGGCCCTTTTCTCTTTTGCCCTCCCTGCTGTGATCGGATGATGTACGTGTGTCATCCCGTTGACTCTGACGCCGTTGGTCCCGGTAGTTTCACTGTCACGTTGCTACCGGCTCATGTTCAAACTGTCAACACTCGGACGCGGCCTGGCGGGAGCGTTTCACACGTAGCTCTCGCGCTCTGTATATATCTGTATAATATTTTATATAATATAGAACTTTCTTCTTGTATTTATGTAGATTAGACAACAGAGGTTTGAAGGTGTTTTGACCCTGATTTTCACAGAGATGTAACGGTACTTTCAGCTAGTTTCTTTCTTTATTTAATATATCTGCACATAAATCAAGAATCTGAACGCTTCTTTGGCTTCGCTGCATTTGTTGGTTGGCGTTCTTCACTGCTGAAGACCACAGCTCCCTCTTCTGTTCAAACCGCTTCACTGCAGGCCAGACACGTGCAGTCCATCCCGCAATAACGCCGTTATCCTGGATCATCATGCAAAAAGGATTTTAGCCATGATTCATATCTGCAATACCTGATGGGTTTTTTTTCAGACGCCATACATCTGCAGACCGATACAGGTTTGACATATTGAATGCAGTATTCTTTCCTTCACATATGAGATTTTTTCACGGGGTGTGGACACACATCATGAGAATTGTGAATGTAAAAATGATAAATACTATAGATATCAGGACTTAATATTGCATTATAGTTTGTTATCTTCCATAAAGTGAATCATTTTGAATGTTTTCACTAAAAAAGTTCACTTTAATCATCAACATGTTATTATTTTGAAGAAAAAAAAAACCTGTGTGCGGATCCATATACATTAGCTTAATGACGACCAGCTTCATTAAGCTTCATTTTTGTGTGATAAGAGATGAGCAGCAGCTGTCGCTCAACGCGGCTGATCGTGTAGGAAGCTAAAAGGGACACCTCGTAAATATCTGCAGGCGGACTAATTGGTCCCCTGTGAGATCCGGACATCAGAGGTCACGACCTCGCCGGTCAACACCGAATGGCCCCAACATGTGAGCTGCTAAGTATAGGTCTGCATGTTGGTTGAGAGCTCGGTACCTCTGTTGCGGTACGTGTTGCGGGTGAACAGCGACCAGCCGGACCCCCGGAGGCCCGCGTCCCCGCGAGAATATATTTAGACTTGACTCTCCTCTTTTCTCCTTGTTGTTATCAAAGCACTTGGAATTCCTTTCATATCTTCCTCTTCCACAGCAGCAGTCTGTGGTCGCTCCGCTGTCGGGTGTCAGCTTTCATTGTTTCATTGAGAGCTTTTTCCCTCGATGCCCGTGGAGAAGCCCGAGGCCCGAGGCCCGAGATCGTTGGCTCTCGCGTAGTCCTCTTGCCTGCTGCCGGGGGCTTGAGGGAGCAGACTCCTTCGTCCTCGCAGGGACTTTTGTGGAGGACCTCCGGGCTGCTCAGCGTGTCCGAGCTGCTGAGGAACACCAACGGGACCGGAGGAAGGAGCGCCGTGAGGAACGCGGGAAAAGCCCTCTTTGTCTGAAGCATCCAAACGTCACATTCAGTGTTTTTTTTTTCGTCCTCCTCCTCGCCCCAATCCACGAAAACAAAGCCCATACTCGCCTCCCTCTTCCTCATCAGAGGAGCTGTGGATTGGAACATTGGTGACTTCGTCAAAGTCGCTCATCTCATCTTCTGCAGGACGTTTGATGATGTAGCTACACTCCCTGAGATCAGAAGCACAGCTTACACATATGCTCTTTGAAAATGATGAGAAAATAGAGAACTGGTCTGATGTATTCAGAGTATTCCAAAGAGGAAATGTGAAGGACAGAAGCCTGTTATGTTCTTTATCGTGAGGTCCGGTGAAGAAGACGACCCCCAGTAGATGGTAAACCCCCCCGCTGCTCGGTTTGCTTTGGGCTTCTGGTTGTGGGAAGCACCTCGATTGGTACCAGCTCCAATGAATAATATATTTAGACAGCAAAGTGACACTAAACTCATTCTGCTTCAAAAAAAATTCAGATTCAAGGCTGACGTCCAGATCCTCACACAGTTAGATTCACACAGCCCAGCAAAAGAGAGAGGCTGTCCAGGGTGAGAGGGAGGGACACCGAAGGGGAGGTCGGTGGACGTGGGGGGGTCTCACAGAGCGTGCACTGTTAGAGGACAGAAGGGTGTCACCAGCCGGCGTAGGTAGATCAGCGGACAAACCCTGCAGCTACGAGTCGGAGCAGAGAGAAGGACGGAGGACAGCGGGGGACAGCGGGGGACAGCGGGGGACGGCGGGGGACAGCGGGGCGAGAGCTTCGGACGTTTGAGGCTCTCCAGCCGAGGGGATGCAGTGAGGGGAGAAGGCCGAGGGATGGAGCTCCAAGCAGCCAGCGGGCGGGCAGTCAGGTACAGCAACACGCCGTCTTCATTACAGTTCACCACTCTGTCTGAAGGGTTGGAAAACTATTATAAATGTGGTAAAAGATGCTGAACGTGGTGAAAAGGGGGGCAATTGTGTCACATGGGACACCGTAGTGGTCGTCGCCTTGTGTCAACGCTTTGCTTATGGAGGTCAAACTGGCAGTGGTGATTTGGCATTAAGAGACTCGAGAATGTGGGAGACATGCAAACGTTTTTTGTTGAGGGAGAGGGAGGACATTTTATTCAACACGCTCTGTGTCCCAATTCACATGATGCTCCGGAGTCCCCGGGCGCCACAAAGCGCACTCTGTGCGCCACACAGACCCTCCATTTGTCCTCCCCTCCTTCCCTCTTTAGCATTTTTAAGTCTTCTCCTTCTCCCCGGGCAAGTGACCCCCCGCTGATGGAGGAGGAGGATTTTCCAAATACTTCACGGGCACCCACGTAGTCGCCGGCGGGCGGCTCTGAGGTCTCTGACAAAGACGTCGTTGTTTGTTTGTGTGTAGTTCACAACAAAGATGTTACACAATGAACATCATCTGGCATCCTCACCCCCCCCCCCCCTGCAAGCTTTTATATTGGTTTTCTTTCTTTAGCAGTCCACTCTGCAGTTGCGGGACACATTCCAAGTGCCGTCTCTCATACCGGCCCCCCGTCCCTGCTGCCATATTGGTTTTCACACGGCCCCTCCCTGCCCGCCGCCGCCGCCGCGGCGACGCAGCTGTCACCTGTCAGTTTCCGGGTGGGGACGCTCATTGGCCCGTTGGGGCTCAGAATAGAATCGTGCGAGATTGTTTTCGCTGCGAGTGCGGAGAGCACAACGCCGACGCCTCTCAGAGGGATGAGCAGTTGAAAACGGGCGGGGGGGGGGGGCGGGAGAAGAAGAAAAAAAAACGACCACCCCGAACGGCGTGGGAATGTGGCGTTTGTGCGCTCGGAGGTTACGGGGGGCCGTTTGTCGAGGCGACTGACCGCTTCTGGGGAAAGGGACTGTGCTCCGGGCGTGCGGGTAAGGCCTGAGGTTGCTGGTCACACGCTGGCGGCGTTGAGAACATTAAAGTTGTTTTGTTTGTTGGTTGAGCTTTGATTTGAATTTGTATTTGTCAGATGAGCTTGGATGAAGGAATGCTTTCTGGGTAAAGTGCACGTTGCCCTTTGACTGGTATTTCACATGTGACATTTGCACCCAGCTCTCTCACCGAGGTTCATGCCTGTGATCCTGTTTTGAATTTGTTTGCTCCCGCTGCAGAATGGACGACCAGGACAGAGTGAGCCAAACATCCAGCGTGGCCACTATTTCCTACTTTCCTGTCAGAAAGGTTTGTTTTGAGTCAGTGTGTCCCCGCTTGGCACACGTGGCCTGACTTTGACGCGTACTAATGTAGTATTTCTTCTGCGGCTATAGAGTGAAAGTGATGGAAAGGTGCAGACATTCGGGAAAAGATGCCTGGCGTCCAAGAGAGACCCCAATTGTTCTGTAGTCATCAGAGGATGGCTCAACAAAAAGGTAATATTTCAAACACGCTGAACTGGTGATAACTTGAGAGGTTGACTGAGAGCAGCTCCTGATGGATCTCCCCTCTGCAGGACAGCTCTGGTTTGAAGCTTTGGAAAAGAAGGTGGTTTGTTCTCTCCAACTACTGTCTGTTTTACTACAAAGGTACGCATCTTTCTTGAGGCCGGAGGTTTCGTTCCCGTTACATGTTCCCTGAGTGCAGAACAATGCATCTCTTCTCTCCCCTCCCCCCCCCCGGCAGACAGTAGAGAGGAGTCCGTGCTGGGCAGCATCCCACTCCCCAGCTACAAAATCCTGTTCTGCACGCCACGAGAATGCAAGAGCAGGAAGTTCACCTTCAAGGTATCGTGATTCGGTTACACATCCAAGAATGGTGCATCATGGGAGGGACGGCCGTGTAACACTGTGAGGGATCTGTGTAAAACCAGGTGGTGCACCAGGGAATGCGCTCTTATTTCTTCAGCGCCGACACCCAGGAGGACATGTTGGGTTGGGTCCGAGCCCTCAGCCAGTCAGCTGCAATGGAGCCGAACGGCTCCCTGAACAGGTCGAGCGCCTTCAGGTGCGACGCATTCAACATCCAACACATGTCCCGAGTGACACTTCATTTGGTCCATCTGTTAAATATTTCAGGCGCTGCTCGAGTTATCAGGATTTCACACAGATAGGTGGCAGCAGTGAGTCATTGGACTTCCCTAAAACCCCCTCTGATGGAGAGGGTCGCTCCCAAAGACACAGACACGTCAACAGGGCTCTGAGCGAACCGAGTCATCTCCCCAACGGGAGGATGGAGCCGTCGAGGGGGAGGCGCAGTGTGCGTCAGAGAAACAGCAGGTTCGGCGAATCCTCCCCCGCGCGTGAACGGCGCACGTTTAAATCCCACGGCCTCGATAGGTGGGAATCGTCCCAGCTTTGACGTTTCTGCTGTGTTTCCTCCTCAAACAGGACGCCCAGCCCTGCGGATTTTAGCCGAAGAAGAGCCTGTGATCCGCAGCGGGAGGAAGACTTCCTCCCCGGCCAAAACACACCACCGATGCAGACGGAAACGACGGGAGCGGGTTCCCTGACCCCGAGAAGTCAGCTGGGGTCGCGACCTCACACCCCGGTGGGAAGGGTAGACATTCGACCTCGCGATGACCTGGCCGTGGCGCCGCCAGCCATCTACTACACACCTGCCTCACCCAGCCTGGAGTCCAAATCCTCCCCAAACACTCCGGGCGCGGAGAGGTGGCCGAACCTGTGCAAGGTACTCGGTTGATTCGAATCAAAGGTGCCACTAAGCGTCTCACGTTACTCAAAGCTTATCTGGTCCATTGTCTACAGCCAACACCGACCTACGGGTCTGTGCATCACGCATCGGCAGGGCGACGCCATTTAGGAAAGGTGATCGCAGCTTTAAACGACGCACAGGCCTTTGCGCTTTCTCCGTTGTCCTTGTCACCGAAGCGCCGTCTCCTCCTTCAGGGCTCGCCGGCGGGGCCGCACGCGGACGCGCTGCCCCCTTTGCCCCCCTCGTCGAGAGCGACCCATGCACCCCAGCACCACCCCCACCACCACCACCACCACCACCATCACCATCACCGCAGCAACGTGTCCGTTTGTGTGCTTCCGCCGGCCGTGAGTCGTTATTGCGTCGCATCCACCGACTCGCTTGTTTCACGCCGTTGGGCTTTGTCCGTTTTTTTATTCGTGAACGACAAATGGTGGAGGGCTCATTGTGCAAATTTAGTTATGCATTTGTGTTTTTTTGTCATGAAATGTTATTTGTTGTGTTTTACAAAAAAAGGGTTTTCTCTCAGAGGCCTGAAGCTTCTGCTGTGCTGATTTGAAACACAACAGCCGAGTCTGACGTTGAAGCATTGAAGCGTGAACCGGCATTAACCAACTGAAGTCTACACGACGGACTGCACAACAACAAACATTGTCTCATTTGCATTGTATTTGCAAACATGCATGCATGAAAAGGAAGAAACAATATTAAAAAAGCACTGTTTAACAAAACCGTGACGTGTTTCAGGCACCAAATCCTGACGCGAGGGAAACGCCACCAATCAGGCCTCTTGAAAGCGATGCGGACGTGAGTGTTCACAACGATGCCGGAAGGCTCTCAAATGTCACCGGAACACGGGACAGTTGGTCGTCATCTCGGGAGATGTTTCACCGTGAATTTTGCATTTCCCCTCTCCAGGTGTTGTTGACGCGGTTGTGCGGCTGTGACAAGCTGCTCCAGTCGCTCTCGGAAGAACTGGCCCAGCTACAGATGGACAAGGTGGCTACTCACTCCATTCAGAATCCTCTGTAGCAGCACAATATGTTTTGCCATTTTTTTTCCCCCCCCGCGATTGCAGGACAGCGTCGAGTGCGCGTTGGACGTGTCCAGACTTCAGCTGGACGAGTGGACAAGCCAGGGGCCCGGGGCCCAGGAAGAAGCCCTGACCCAGAAGGCTCTGCTGCAGGAAGACCTGGTCACAATCCGGGCTCGAATGTGCGACGTGTCATTGGTGCGTGATCAGCACGAGGTGGAAGCAGACGGAAATAAATAAGTAGTTTATTGCCATGTCAAAAGAGAGATGTGGAATACAAGTCTTCTGCTCTTTTGATGCAGGAAATGGAGAGCGTGTGGAGTCAATATGAGAGAATGGAGAGTGAACTGTCGGTTATCCGCTCCCACCTTCAGCACATCTGTACCTTTGGAATGCCACAGGTATTTGAAAAGCACAAACTGGAGTGTGTGATGTTTTTACTGTTCTCAGTGACAACAATTCTACAGATAATTCAGGCTCATGTCGGCAGCTACTTCGGGGGTAAAATCTTTGGTTTCTGTCTTTTTTTCTAAGGACCAGTCTCAGGCCCAGAGAGAGCTGTGGATGATGGAGGACATCCTCACCGGGCTCAAGATCAACAGGGATCACTTCCGCTTCCTGCTGGGACTACAGAGGCACCACAGTAAGCGCTGAGAAGCTCCGACTGCGCCATTGTGTGACAAAAACACGCTTTTGTTTCCATGTTTAGTTGCGGTGGGGTTTTCTGTGCACAACCCGTGTCAACGGCAGCGTGACCTTTTCTCTTCCCCCCCCTCAGCGTTCCAGCTGACGTCCCCACATCCTGGATCCCCTGGACCTCCCGCCGGGAGGCTGCGGAGAGGACCCCCGATGGTACAGTTTGACTCCATCGTTTCTTTGACGGGGGGGCGTTTTGCTCCAGTCTCGCGTGGACGCTGTGAGATCTTCTCTAATGTCCCCTGTGGCCGTGACCCCCTGCAGGAGGGGGAACAAGAGCCACCACTGCGCCCACCATTACCCCAGGAGCTGCAGGGAAGCTTCCTCGGGAGGGGGCGAGGCCCCGGCCGGACGGAGTCACCATACGAGGTGTGGAACGTGGATATTATCAATAACGGACATTGTCAGGTGACAGATGTTTTACAATGTTTCCTCTTCTTCTGCTTTAGGAAATCTACGGCCACACTGTTGATCCCGAACAGAGAAAAGGAAACAGTATGAGAGCAGCAAAAGACACATTTGGTTGGTGCAGATACATAAACAGAGTGATTATGTTTTTCTCAGAGCCCAGCTTTGTTCTGCCTTTTATTCACATTGGTATTTACTATATTTCCATCACACGTGTCTTTTCTTGCTCCCACTGTCCTCCTCCTCTTCCTCCTCTTTCCCCTATTTGCATGTCATCTTCAGAATCTGCTTCAAAGTGGATCCCACCAGATACAATCAATCAATCAACCAAGGTGTGAACCGTCGTAGTTTCTTCTTTTCTGGTCATAACTACATCGGGATGTGTGCATGTGACCCAAAAGCTCCAAATGTAGAAGCAGTCACAGCAGATATGTTCTCATTGCAATCACGGCCAAATTCCAATTCTTTGATTCTCTGGTCTTTTCTTGCAATTAGGGCACGCTGCAGCTCCCTTTGTAGTTGATAGGGGGCGTAAGAGGCACATGTCTCACGTGCATTAGCTCAGTCTTTTCATGTTTTCCACCCAACCCCCCCCCCACTTTCTCACATGCTTACAAACACATACATGGACACACAGCTGCACATGAACACATGTGCAAACAGACGCAGCTGTGGTTATAGAGTTTTTGGTACTCAAACACATGGACTCGGGTTCCGTGAATGACTCATTCTGCACGTTTTCTAGAAGAGGAAGATGAGTGAAGAAGAGCAAATTGAACGGATGAGGAGGAATCAGGAGAGGTCGACGAATAGGAAGAAAGCCCCCATGCCCACGCTGGTCCAAAGTTCGGACACAAGCGAGGAGGTGTGCCACATTACGAATCAGTATAACTTATTAAATCGCCCCCCCACTGTAAAGCAGTACACATTAACTGATCTCTCCCGGTGAATCCACAGGCCCCGTTTCCTCTGCGAGTGACTCGGGTCGTTACAGCTGTCCTGCCGTCCTCCACTGTGGCCAGACGCGTCTCCGTCGAGGACCCCCCGCCCAAACTGGACAACCCGTTGCCCGAGCAGATACCGCCGGAGACGCAACGCAGACTGTCGGTGCAAAACGCGTCGAAGAAGCAACCCTGGGGTGTGCCGCCGGGGGGGCGCGAGCGAACGCAGGCCTCGGCGGAGACGCACCAGCAGGAGCCCGTGGTGAGAACAAAGAGACATCGGGGAATATTGAGGTCGTCCGAGAAGGAGAAGCGCTCAGAAGCAAACAGAGCCGTGGCAACGGAGACCCCGAGGAATCGAGTTCAAGGCGAAGCGGCTGAAGCACCAGGAAGTGAGAGCTCGGACGCCGGGGTGAGAAATATGGAAATGCATTGAAAAGTGATCGAAGGCTTGAACTGAGTGCAGCTCATCTGGAAAGCCGACACCGCAGCACCGGTTGATATGATCTCTCCCCAGTCTGACGTCGCCCACGTTCTTCCTGGCAGGGAAACTGTACCCGGGTTTGCACGTCGTTGTAGTGAACATGATATCTCTGCAAGGCCGACAGGATGTATTATATCAAATGTTCACTCCATTCAATTTAATTCTTTTTGAGAATGTATATGCTTTTTTTTTTTTAATTTCAAAAGAAAAGACATGAACGTAACTGCGACTTGATCGCTTGGTGGAGACAAACAGGGACATGGTAGTACTGGGGTTTGTTGGCGGGGTAACGCTTCCCCCCTGAGACAAACTGAGCTCGCAGAGGAAATCAACAAATAGGCACAGTATATTTCTATTGTTTGTATTCTGCCATTCAAAGACAAGGACATTTACAGTATATTATTTGTTTTAAGATCTGCTTTATGGACAATTACTTAATACGTATAAGGCAAGGCAAGGCAATTTTATTTGTATAGCACTTTTCATACACAAGGCAGACTCAAAGTGCTTCACATCGTAACCTTTCATACAATAAAGTGAAATAAAATGCAGGAATTAAAAGACAATTAAAAACAGCAAATAAAATTATAAATTAAAATCTTATTTAAATTGTTTAATTAAAAACAGAGGTTAAAAGTGCAATGTAGGTCAAATTTAGCAGAAGGCGAAGCTGAACATAAAAGTTTTCAGTCTTGTTTTGGGGCAAGTCTTAAATCTTCAGGAAGTTTATTCCAGCTGTTTGTTGCGTATTAACTAAATGATGATTTCCCATGACTTGTATTTACTCTGGGAATCACTAAAAGATTGGTGTCAGAAGATCTTAGTGATCTTGAAGGCTTATGTAGTGAGCATATCAGTGATATACTTTGGCCCTAAACCATGTAGTGATTTATATGTGAGCAGTAGGATTTTGAAATGAATTCTCTGACATACTGGGAGCCAATGGAAGGATTTAAGAATTGGTGTAATGTGCTCACATTTTTTGGTCTTTGTTAGAACTCTAGCAGCAACGTTCTGAACAAGCTCCAATAAGAAAATGACCAGGCTGTGTAGAACAATGCTAAGGTTTCAGGTTGATTTTAATGTGACACGGCTCGAACAGGCAGACGACCGGCGATCCGCCCTCCTGACCCCTGACATGGGCCCCAACTCCTGCCTGACCCCGGAGCAGCGGGAGGCCAAACTTCGTCGTGTTGAGCGCATACGCGAGCGAGTCATGAGAAGGTAAGAATTTGCTTGCTGACTTCATATTTAAACATCTGCACACGACCCCTTCACGTCCGCAGCGTGAGCGTCTTCATGAATTGGTTCATCTGTGGGTCTATTAGTGCAGTCGGACAGGGAGATGCTGCACTCCATCAACTGCCAATCAGGGGGGAGGGGCAGGACGCTCACCAGGTGCCCCCCGACGCGGCGAAAAAACAAAGGATGAAATCAGGTACGTATTTATCAACACAAAATCAATAAGTGATGAAGTCTAGTGGAGAGAAAAAAATCACAAATCTAGAAGTATCTTCTGAAAGTGCTGTGCCTTAACGGCAAATGTTCTGCTCCGGTTTTCAGACCATAGATTCTATGGAAGCTGTGATCACATCAGAGGTTCTGCAGAGCTTCAGCTCGCTGGTGGACTTTCTCAGAATGGAGATGAAAGAGGTCGCCACGTGAAAACATCTAAAAGTCAAGTCAAACGTGGGGACAAAACGCAACTCAAAGACCACGGCGTAAGAACGGGTGTCGCCAAGAATAAAATCCAACGGCCAGCTTCCCCCTATCACGTCTCCTCTGCGGCCGTCTATCGGAAAGACGGAGGCAAAGGATTTGCAAGTTGCAGTGATGTAGAGGAGCAAAAGCTCGAGGAACCTGCAACCAACGAGGATGAAAATGATTCGCCTTCCTCCGATCTGAGAGCCAAGTGGTTCCTCTCCTCCAGCCAGTGGCAAGGGTTCGTACCCGTGCAGATCCCAGGCGCAGACGTGTGCCGTGGGGCGGTACCGCACGCTGACGACCAACCTGCGTCCACCGACGACGTGGTCGATTCCAACGAAATGTCATCGGCGGTCAGCGAAAGCTTAGAGAAAATGAAAGAGAACCATTCACTCTTCTACAAGATCACGTGTGATATCGCTATTTCAGACACGGACATTACAACCAATGATGAGAATTCAAGCGCCCGATGCCGGGCCGACGATGAAGAGCTGCAGATCATTGAATCTGCGCCGGATGAAGCCACCATTAATGTCGGAGACGCCCCGGATGGTGGGCATGTGACGTCCAGAGAAGCGCTACGTTCGGGGAAGGAGTCAGAGGACAGGGAGGCGGACCGAGGGAGAACCGAAGAGCCGAGGAAATGTCGCAGTTTGAGCGAGGACAACAGAGAGACGGAGGAAGGATCAAAGGAGGGAAGCGGCGGCGGCGGCGGCACCACCAGGCCCTCCAGCGGCCTTCGCGAGGGCGCGGGTGGAACTCGGAGCTCCTCTTTTGGGAACGCACGGGTGACAGTGCTGAGGACAAGCTTGTAGATGTGGTTTGTGGTAGTTTGTAGAACAGCGAAGGCTTACGAGAACAAACTTGAGGAGAACAAGAATAGAGTCAAGAGATTTTTTTGGGGGGGGAAAGGAAAAAGACTGAAGAAGAGGACTTTAAGTGATTGAAGGAATCTGCACCTACTTTTGGATTATAAAATGACAAAATGGGAACATATAATGTCAGAAATAGTCCCAATGTTTAGTAAACTCATACATTTCCATTATATTAGGTCTGAAACAGATGCAATTATAGCAGAAAGTTTTACAAATATTTCATTAAAAAAAAAAAGATTTAAATCTAATATCCATCCCGCAGGTTGTTTTTTGTTGGTGATAAACATCAAATACCGTAGTCCAAAAAATGCCCAGTATTATTTCATTCCTCATAAATCTAACACAGAATTGATGTGGATTGCTGCTTGTGGATAGCAACATAACCCAGTTATTGTCCCTGTAACAATGTGTTTTGTATCTCAAATATCCTGATAAATAAAAACGGTCGAAACGCCTCGTCTGTGCAAGAAACTCTCGATTCAAATATTCTTCATTTTCGCTCAATAAAAGCGCCACCAGCATCCTCGGCTGCAAAGGTTCTGCTCTCTGACGAAGCCCTGATGCAGAATTAAACAGCGATGGTAAAAATGCCTTTGTCACTTTAAATCCATGCCGCGTCTCAGTCGATGACATCATTGTCTAAGAACACATTACATCACCCCTTCCCAGGCGCTCGCGCTCTTAAAGACAGCACCACCTTATGTTTACTGGGCTACACACACACACACACACACGCATATGCACCGAGAGAGACCCTGCTTATCTGTTTACAAACGGCAAATAAATAACAATATGCATATTAAAGCATCCATGCATGCGGCTGATTCAACGAATGTATTGAAAGCTGCCGTTTTGATGTAAAAATATTCACTTTTTTTATTCAACATATTCCTGCTGTTAGTTTTTAACTATGAGTTAATATGCAGTTTTTTATATGCAGTATTCATACCTCAAGATGCACATACATTGTCCCCTAACGACTATTTATGGTAACGACTTCCATAAAATGAATGCTGATGAAGTTTGAGTTATTATTTATTTATATATATATATATATATATATATATATATATATATATATATATATATATATATATATTCATCAGAATAGAATACTTTTGTCATGACAGACACAAACACACTCAGATCCACCACTGCTTTGTGATACAATGAAGCATTTGAATGTATCGTTTTATTTATTAAATCACTGATGTCCGGATCCAGGTGCAGGTACATATATGATAAATATGATTTACAACATGTCCGTCAGTTAGTTGGCCTTTGATACGCGTAACTAATCAGGTGCTTGATTGGCCTGCGAGCGCGCGCGAGAGCGTGGCGCGCGCGTCCATCACAGAGATGCGGGGAATGCTGGGAGAATGTTTCTTTAAGACCCATTACCTTCCCATCCGACAGAGGGGGAGACCGCGGTAAGGTGGCGCGTCGTCTCTCTCCGCGTCCCCCTCCTCGCCGTTTACATGTGCAGAAGGAGAGACAGAGAGAAAAAGAAGAAGAAGAAGAAAAAAAGAAGCCCACATTTTCTCCGCGTTCGGGCGAGGGGGGGGGGGGACGATCCGCGGCGATGGACCTCGGGGAATATTTGACACCAAACACGGACGCTACGCGCTCCCCGCGATGACTGTGGTAAGGACGCAACTTCACGCCGCCCGCCCCGTCGCGCCCCGGCTTCCATTTGCGGGGACGTTGTCTCCACCCGAGGACGCGGGAAAGGGGACACATGCAGATGTAGGAGTAAATGCATGTGCG